TGTAGGGTTTATAGGCTTGATAGGGTTTAAAGGGTGGGTTCTTCAAGGGTTTGTAGGTCTAAAAAGGGAAGTAAGTCTTTAGGGTTCATGGGATTTAAGCTGCAGACTCATTGATGCAGGAAACCGACAACCCAGGTGGTGCTAGCGGTTTAGGGTTTAAGGTTTAGGGTTTAGGGTTTAGGCTTCCGTCCTCGGGCTTCAAAACTCTTCGCCCTCTCATACTAACAGTCCTTTCTTGGGATTTTAACAGGGGGTACTAGAATCCCTATTAAGAACTGTTTTTATAAGCGTGAAGATCTCAACCCTAAACCCTAAAGCCTAAAGCCCAAAGCCTGAACCCGAATCCCTAATCCCTAATCCCTAAACCCTAAACCCTAAACCCATGGCACCGCGGGTCATCAGGACGAAGTACGAGGCTCGGTTGCTTGGGGTTTAAAGTGCGAGATCCTTCCTTCAAAAAAATCACAGCGCCATTCAGGGTTAGGGTTGTAGTTTAGGGTTTAGGGTTTAGGGTTTAGGGTTTAGGGTTTAGGGTTTAGGGTTTAGGGTTTAGGGTTTGGGGTTTGGGGTTTGGGGTTTAGGGTTTAGGGTTTGGGGGTTGAGGTTTAGGGTTTGGGGTTTAGGGTTTAGGGTTTGGGGTTTGGGGTTTAGGGTTTAGGGTTTAGGATTGGGGGTGTAACAAGAGCCCAAGTCTAGCCCACAAGGTTGCACCTTGCAGAGATTCACAAGCACCCAGCTATGGCAACAGCAATGCGTGCTCTGGGTTTAGGATTTTAGAGTTGAGGATTGAATTAGGGTGTATTAGGGTGTATACGGGTTAAGGGTTTAAGGTTGTATCAAAGCCTGACTCAAACACCGTGTCCCGAACGCAGCCTGAAGAAATGGAGAGCTGAACGTTGAACCCCAAAAAGACTCGCCATCATCCCTAAATCCTACCTTAAGAGCCCTACATAAACCCTAAACCCTAAACCCTACACCCCAAACCCTAAACCCCAAACCCTAAACCCTAAACCCTTTCCTGAATCCCAGGCCCCGATACCACCTTGGCCGCCATGGCCGTCATCTCGGGGAGTGCAGCGTAGACGGTGCCCAGCTCGCCTCTTTCAGAGAATTGCAGCTCAGGGTTTAGGGTTTAGGGTTTAGGGTTTAGGGTTTAGGGTTTAGGGTTTAGGGTTTAGGGTTTAGGGTTTAGGGTTTAGGGTTTAGGGTTTAGGGTTTAGGGTTTAGGGTTTAGGTTCAGGGTTCAGGGTTCAGGGTTTCAGGGTTCAGGGTTCAGGGTTTAGGGTTTAGGGTTTAGGGTTTAGGGTACGAGTAGGGTCACCATCATCGAAGGGCTGAGGGATTGAGGGGGAACCTAATCTTCGAAAGGTGTTCTTGGTAGCCCAGTAACCCCATATGTGAATAGGGGCACCCTTTTAGGGTGTAGGGTTTAGGGTTTAGGGTTTCAGCGTGCTTGTCTTGGGGGAACCCAGAACGAAACAGACAAAAGGCAAAGGGTACCGCTTGGTTTCAGAGCCTGCTCAGGACTGGGTTGGCCTTTAAGCACCCTGAAAAATATTTATATATAGAGTCCCTTATAAACCCAAATCAGGAAAATCCCCGAACCCTAAACCCTAAACCCTAAACCCTAAACCCTAGACGCTAAACCTTCAACCCTAAACCCTAAACCCTAAACCCTAAACCCTAAACCCTAAACCCTAAACCCTAAACCCTAAACCGCCAAAATCCAACCTGGAGGAGCTTTCTGGCGTGGAAAATGTTCGAGGTCATGACGTGCGTAGGCGTGGGGATTTTGATATCCAAGCTGCAGGTCCCCAGGGTAAAGCTCGTTTTTTTTTTAGAACTTTTCTTGGGGTCTATAGGGTTTAGGGTTTGGGGTTTAGGGTTTAGGTTCTTGGAGCAAGAAGAGCAGTCATGCCCACCCCCCCCCCTGCCGGCAATGGCTCTTGGTGTGGGGGCGCGGGGCTTGGTCGTTAAGGCCAGCTTTCTTCCCAAACCCTAATCCCTAAACCCTAAACCCTAAACCCTGAACCCTGAACCCGAGAACCTAACGACCAAAGACTGGAAACACCCATGCCTTGAACCCCGAAACCTGTAGAGCCCAAAACCTGAACTCAAACTCTAAACCCTGAACCTTACCTTAAACTCTGAGGGTAGTTGCATGGCCCCTTAGTATTCTTAAAAGGGTACTTCTTATATAGCCGTTACAAGATGTACCATATGAAGGGCCCATGAAACTAACCTTAGATAAACCCCAAAACCCTGAACCTTGTAACCCCGGGGCTTCGGGGTGTAAACCCTAAACCCTAAACCCTAAACCCTAAATCCTAAACCCTAAACCCTATTCGGAGACTCTGCACCGCCCCCGCACTGATGAGCCGATGGTGCCTGAAACGCCCAGCGGGTACAAGATCAGGAAGGTGCTATACCGAAGATAGGTCCTTGGATGGTAGGATGGCCCTTAAAACCCGAGTGAAACCCATTTTAGGGTTTAGGGTTTAGGGTTTAGGGTTTAGAGTTTAGGGTAACCCAGTGAAAACATATTCCTGAATAAGATCCTCTAAAACCCTGTAAGGGAAAAAATAAACGTCCCAAGGGCCTGCCTAGCATGAGTTGAGGGTCCTTTGATGTAGGGCTTAACTCTAGGGGCCTTAATAATTAGAATGGGGTTCTGGGGGTTTGTTGTAGTATAAATATCAAGGGGCCATAAGGGAATAATACTAGCAATTCTTCCGACCCCTAAACCCTAAACCCTAAACCCTAAACCCTAAACCCTAAACCCTAAACCCTAAACCCTAAACCCTAACCCTAAACCCTAAACCCTAAACCCTAAACCCTAAACCCTAAACCCCAAACCCTAAACCTGTGGGCTTTTGGGGCTTCGGGGCTGCGGCTTTGACTACGGAGTCCATGTCATGGTTCGCCGCACCAGGAGAAGAGGCGCGAAGGATCTTGCAGCGAGCTGTGTGAATACGTGGGTTTTAGGGTTTAGGGTTTAGGGTTTAGGAACTGAGGGATCCTATTCTCACTTCTGTGACTTGTAAGCCAGGGTTGCTCTGGAACCACAAGAAGGTTTGAAGGTTTAGGGTGGTTGTGCTGAGGGCTTGAGTGTGCCGTGGAGCCTTACCAAAGAAGCTGAGGGTCAGCGGGAACAACTGCACGCCCGAGGCATGCAGCGCGTAGTACCTCGTTGCAGGGGGGGGGGGGGGGGGGGGGGGGGGGGGGCCCTCGGGCTAACCCCCTGTAAAGAAAAGCTTCTGGACGATGCCCCACACACGAGGACCCTCTGATTCTGCCAACAATGATAAACCCTAAGCCCTAAGCCCTAAGCCCTAAACCCTAATCCCTAAACCAGAACCCTAAACCCTACACCCTAAACCCGAACGCTAAACCCTAAACCCCAAAACCCCAAACCCTAAACCCCAAACCCCCAGACCCCGAGGCCCTGCCCAGCTTAGAGAGCGACCGAGCGTTGTTGCAGCTGTCTGTTGCTCTTGTTGGGTCTTCTCTTAAGGGGCTGAAGGAGAGGACTCTTCCAGGGTGTCTCCATATATAGATATGCTTAGGGTTTAGCGTTTAGTGTTCAGGGTTTAGGGCCTAGGGTTTAGGGCTTGGGGCTTGGGGAGGGGGGGGGAACATGCCTCATGCGGTTCCGGGTTCCGGAGGGCTTATAGGGTTTAGGTTTGAGGAAGCACGGAGGAGTTAGCACCCCCTAAACCCTAAACCCCAAACCCCAAACCCCAAACCCGAAACCCGAAACCCTCTCTGGAGGTCCCTGGCTCACGCTGCGTCGGGCCCAAAACGGCTACACCCCGCTAGGAAGCCTTAAAAAGCCCAGCAACCAAAGCTCTAGTTGGGGGCATAGCAAGGGGAAGCTTTAGGGGCACAACCTTAGAGATACCTTGAGAAGCCTCAAAGCCCGTTTCTTGCGAACAGAGACCTCTGGCTATTCCCAGCGTCGAGGAAAAAATGTAAAAAGCTGTCCTTCCATCATATCCCAAGAACGACTATTTGCTGAAGAACCCCTCCCCCACCAAAAAAAAAACAAACAAAGGAATAATATGAAAGAAAACAGTCCCTACATTACCCTTGCAAGGCTGCATATTTTCTAGTTTTTGCAAGGGTTCTTAGGCAAATAGCAGCAATAGTCATGATGAAGATAGGAACTTCCTGGCAAGAGTAGCCAGAGACGAACAAAAATCGGCGTTGTGCTCGGAGCTCGGTTTGGGGTTTGGGGTTTGGGGTTTGGGGTTTGGGGTTTGGGGTTTGGGGTTTGGGGTGTGGGGTTTAGGGTTTAGGGTTTAGGGTTTAGGGTTTAGGGTTGAGGGTTTAGGGTTGAGGGTTTAGGGCTTAGGGCTTATGGTTTAGAGTTGAGGGTTGAGGGTTGAGGGTTTGGGTATATAATTCGGGGTTTCGAGTCGCCACTGCTGCAGCCGCGGCACGCGTACCTCACGACCTCTGTGATGCACCAGGCATAGTAGAAAAGCGTCCTTGGGTCGTGCGCTTCAGCACATCTGTAGGGGTTTACGAAGATAAGGGACCCTAAGAGAGACCCCTTACTATAGGGATCCAAATAAGGCACCCCTATTTTCGAAAACCCCCCATACATATCTAAACCCTTAAGGGCCCAAAAGGAAAACAAACTTCATGGCCATAGGTGTCTGAAGCAGGCTTTAGGGTGTCTTTCGGGCTTCGTCAAAACATCCATGAAGACTGAAGGCATGATACGGAATTGAACATCGGCCTGGGTTCATCAACGTGGGGCATACCCTGAGCTGCCACACAACGCACATGGCTGAACAGCGCCTCTTAACCTGTGGGGGCGGTTCTCGATTCATACCTCATAGCTAAGAATAGATCTTGCATGTCTGCACATGAATCGCCAGCAGTTAGGGTCGTGTATCTGCCTGTCGGAAAACCTGACTTTTCAGCTCCTTTGTTCTTGCGACTGCTCGGTCATCTTGACCCAGCAACACAAGAGCGCTGAGATTGATCCTGCATCACGGGGCCGAGGTTTGCTCATCTACGAGCCAGGTGGACACATCGACTTCGGTGTAACGATGGCCTTGGTAGCCCAGTAACCATATTACAATAAGGGCACCCTAAACCCTAAACCCTAAACCCTAAACCCTAAACCCTAAAGGAAGAGGGTACCACTGGGCTACCAAGCAGCCCTTCCAGTCCAACCATGCCACTTCAGCCTTCTGGGAGTCACCGAGGCCTTCCGAGGCCTCCATGAAGCTGCGGTCCTCCTAGGGTTTAGGGTTTAGGGTTTGGGGTTTAGGGTTTAGGGTTTAGGGTTTAGGGTGTAAAAGGGCACCACTTAAGCTACCAAGTCCTCCGACAGCGAAGCGAAGAAGAGCCGCTGAAGCTCCCTCGAGTATTGGGATGTCGAGTCTCCTCGTGGCTCTCTCTGAAGATGCTCAAGATCGCTCTTGATTGCAAGAAACCTTGGCTGCACTCAGGAGGGTAGCTATAAATTAAACCTTTAGCTGCCTTAATAAGACACCCAATATTAATAAACCCAAAAAAATGAAAGGATCTAAAGTACCACAAAGAAACTCTTGTGACTTCATGAAGGCCTCCTTCTGTTCAGAAATCGCCTCACACCGCAGGCGCTCTTTTCCAGCCGTTAGGAAGTGCTCCGCTTTCCCCTTGCCCACCCTCCCTTTGAAGAAGTAGACTTCCAACTCGGCGCCTGCAGTGCATGAGCCGAAGGGCCCCTAAACCCTAAACCCTAAACCCTAAACCCTAAACCCTAAACCCTAAACCCTAAACCCTAAACCCTAAACCCTAAACCCTAAACCCTAAACCCTAAACTGCAATGCGGCACCTTCGGCCACGGCCCTCTCCACGTTTTCCAGCCATATCGCGAACCACCTGCTGCACTCCCCTTAGAACCTTAATAGAAAGGAAAATTTTTAATGCCCTAAACCCCAAACCCTAAACCCTAAACCCTAAACCCTAAACCCTAAACCCTAAACCCTAAACCCTAAACCCTACACCCTAATTCCCAAGGGGCATATAGCCTGCATCCCCAGGGCTTTTTTTCGCCGTAGAGCTGGGTACACCAGCAGCTGCCTGGAAGGTGTCGGGTTTAGGGTTTAGGGTTTGGGGTTTAGGGTTTGGGGCTTGGGGTTTGGGGTTTAGGGTTTAGGGTTTGGGGTTTGAGGTTTGGGGTTCAGGGTTTGAGGTTTGGGGTTTGGGGTTTAGGGTTTGGGGTTTGGGGTTTGGGGTTTAGGGTTCAGGGTTCAGGGTTCAGGGTTTGGGGTTCTTTGGGGTTTGGGGTTTAGGGCGGGGGTCTTAGGGTTTCGAGCACCAGCAACTGCCTGGAAGGTTTTCGGCCTTCGGGATAGGGCAATGGTAGCCGAAGTGCCTCAAGCCTTCCTTGGCTGCACTTAGCAGGGTAGCTAAACATTGAATCTTTTGCTGCCTTTACTAAGAAACCCAACAAAAAAAAAGCTAAGGATCTAAAGCTACAAACCCTAAACCCTAAACCCTAAACCCTAAACCCCAAACCCCAAACCCCAAACCCCAAACCCTAAACCCTAAACCCTAAACCCTAAATCCTAAACCCTAAACCCTAAACCCTAAACCCTAAACCCTAAACCTGCAGTAAAGCACCGCAGAGCTTCCGGCAGGAAGACCACGGCGGCACTGGGTTGGCCCCGGCTTGCGACCAGTGAGTCCCAGGCAGACTCATACTTCCCAGGCCAAGAAACCTTTTAGGGTTTAGGGTTTAGGGTTTAGGGTTTAGGCTTTAGGGTTTAGGGTTTAGGGTTTAGGGTTTAGGGTATAGGGTTTAGGGTTTAGGTTTAAGGCGGCACCATTCTTGGGGGGTACTCTTTGAAGAGACGGTCATTTGTTGCTCCTTATGGGGCTCCTCCTGCTCGGTGTACTCGGGCGTACGCGGGCATACTCGGGCGTACTCGGGCGTACTCGGGCGCACTCGGGCGCACTTGGGCGTACTCGGGCGTACTGGGGCGCACTCGGGCTGCAGTCGCGGAACGCGGCCGCAATGAAAATATTTATAATAATGTGTCAAAAATGGTCATTGTTGTTCCTTATTGGGTTCACGTATTCATACAAGAATGTAAAGTGATGCTTCAACAATGGCCTGGGAACAACACATGGGCCCTTTCCTGGAAGCACCGAGCCCTGGAAAACCAGGCTCCGCTCGATGTCTTGTTTCAGCTCAGCTCTCGCCTGGAAGGATTCTGGGCGATGAACGGCCAGGCACACGAGACTCAAACAGCAGCAGCAGACCAGCCCAGGAGCCACTACAATCCACCAATAGCCCGCGTCAGCGTAACGAACGGCTCCTGCAATCAGGCCCAAGCAACAAAGGATGAGCCATACTAAGGAGCCATACTGGGCTGACCACCTTGCCAGGTTCGTGGCGAAATTGAAGCCAGCAGCTGCGGCGAGGGTGCAAAAGCACCCCACCCAACACATCACAAAGCCGAGCGTTAGGGTCAAAGGCACGGCAGCCTCCTCCGGTTCCACGGCGATTCCGCAATACACCAGCCCAACTGTACCGAAGAGACCCAAGAAGGCGAACCCAGACGAGGCGCCCCGCGCGCCGTCTTGTCGTACTTGCTCCAAGGCATTTTGCAAAATCTCCCGGCGTTTCTGCCGCGACGTGGCCTCCGCAGCCAACTCCCTCTGCTCCTGCTGCAGGAACTCAGCGGCATGGAGCCCGAAGGACCCGAAGGAATCTGACACCCGGAGTGTCGCGTCGAGGGTTGTGCCGGGGGCACTGGGGATGATGCGGGTGCCAGAAATGCTTGGATCATCCCGCAAGCGAACGCGCATCATCAGCTCTGAAGTGGGGCCAGACATGTGAAACGCGCGGCGCACATTGGGATAAAGAACTTTCACCTCCTCCGCAAACGTCACTTCCTTGGTGGCCCTGTAACCCTAAACCCTAAACCCTAAACCCTAACACCATATCACCAGAAGGGCACGCTTCTTTTGGGGGGGGTTGGTTCCGATACAAGCGAACCCCAGGACCGATGACAAAGGGGCAAAGGCTACCGCTGGGATACCCGCTGGGCTACCAAGCCCTAAACCCTAAACCCTAAACCCTAAACCCTAAACCCTATAACCCCTAAACCCCTAAACCCTAAACCCTATAACCCCTAAACCCTAAACCCTACCGTAAACCCTATGGACCCCTAAACCCTAAACCCTAAACCAAGGTTCTATTGCGGCTCGCAGGTCATTCTCAAGCACCACCGAGCCAGCTGGACTGTCTGCTGGACTGTCATCTGCATGCCTTTTGGCATCTGAGTCCGGAGGCACGCCACGCGATTCCATGGCGCCGACCCTTGGAGAGTAGCACACCCTGACGTGAAGAGGGAAGAGGGTTTGGGGTTTAGGGTTTAGGGTTTCGCGTTTAGGGTTTCGGGTTTAGGGTTTGGGGTATAGGGCATGACCATGCCTTGTTCCTATTTCAACCTGGTGCCTTTCCATTACAGCACAAGGCTCCAGTGAACACCTGCAGGTTCATTTGCAGGTCGGTTGCGTTCCCGTTTGGCAACGTTGAGTACTAAAACCCAACAAACCCTAAATACCCTAAACCCAGGAACCCGAAAAAGCCGTAACCCTATAAACCCTGACACCCGACATACCCTGAACCGCCCTGAAACCTACACCCAACGAACCCAACAAACCCGATGTACCCTAAACCCGAAAACCCTAGACCCTAAACCCTTTACACCCTAAATTTTGGCCCTAAACCCAATGAACCCTATATACCCTCAACCCGAAACCCTCCAACCTTTCCGTCCAAACCGCCGGCCCTACGAAAGCCTCAGCCCTGACCCCAAGTCCTAGGTTGGACCAGTAACCATATTATCGGAATTATCGGGTTCTTAAGGGATGGGTCGTGGAGACATGTACCTAGAAAATCTTCGGGAAGGTTGGGGAGCCTTAGGGGTAGTGGCAAGTATTAGGGAACACTGGGTTGCGTACCCCGCTCCCTGTTGGCGACATAGCTGAAAATTTGTTTGTATCATCAAGTCATCTCAGACTTATCTGGCTTTACCTTTAAAGTCCGGTTTTTCGCGCTTCGGGCTTGGAGCTTTAGGGTTTAGTTTACGGCTTGGGTTAAGCTAGGGATTGTCTGGATACTCGGCCATTTGTCACCGCTCGTAATCTTCGACTCCTGCTTTTTGCGATGTTCAAACACGAGTTTATATTCAAGCCACATGCAAGCTTAAAAACGCTCTTTTTCAAGTCGTTTGTGTTTTTTTTTCTGAAAACTGCTTCTTCAAGGTCATTCGCGATTTTGTTCGAAGCTATTTGCGACGCCGAAAACGATACTTGCCCACCAATTTGCACCTGTCTTGAGCATTCCGAGGGCTTTCCAAAGTAGTAGCCTTTGTCGTAGTCGTGGATTGTTGGTCGTTGCCTGTTGGCTGTTGCTGGTTGTTGGCGCTGTTTGTGGTTGTGGTTGTGGTTGTGGTTATGGTTGTGGTTGTGGTTGTGGTTGTGGTTGTGGTTGTGGTTGCGGTCGCGACGCCGTTGTGGTGGTGGCTGTTGTTCCTGTTGTGGCTGTTGCTGTTGTGGCTGTTGCGGCTGTACCCGGCCGCTGTTGACGGGCGGGGCCGAAGCCTCGCCCGCCCCGCAACCTTTAGCTCCTTGATGTCTCCCATCAGCCTCTCCATAGCCCGTCGCAGGAACCATGATTTGCACAGGCTTACTTGAAGTCACCATCTTACAGAATTTTCGCGTGGAATTGCATGTGCCACCCTGACTTTGACGTGGGATGTCTTTTGGAAGATACCCTCTCGCGTTGGAGCTTCTCTCGAACTCACCGCTTTGAGTCTCAAAGTACGGAGATGCCTTTTGGTGGGACCCCACAACGCGGGCCACAAAATTATCACCGCCATCCCGTTCATAATCCTCCTCAGTCAGCAGAGTTTGATTGCGTGTCCCGGAGGGCACGGAAGAAGGGTCCTCTGGCCTTGGCGTCCGCCTCCACCTCTCGGCGGAGCTTGCGCTGGAGCTTGTTCAGGCCTGAACGATAAAGATAGCGGAGTGTGTATGGAGAAGAAACGTGAGAAAGAGAGAGAGATAGAGAGAGACAGACAGAGAGAGAGAGAGAGAGAGAGAGAGAGAGAGAGAGAGAGAGAGAGAGAG